GAAAGGCGACGGCGGCGGGGTGACAAAACGGGGGCGTGTGGGCTCCGTCCCAACACCCGGGCTCCTTCCACTGCAACACAGCGTCCTCCCCACGCACACGGCTGTGCGGAGAGGGAGGGGCAGAAAGATGAGCTGGGGGAGACTCTACCGTGCAGCCCTTTGAGGAGAACATCCATGTCCTTGGTGGTGAAGGTTGCAGAGCACGGAAGAAAGACCTTCAGGAGCGAGTACAGTGACTCCCGCACGGCTTGCGGTACCCCAGGTACTTGGGATCCACCGCGAGTTACAGGAGCCTACCCTGTAACTTCTCTGGAGCCATCATAACCCCTGAGGATGCACACGGTCTGCTGACTTGTCACCCAGATAAACAGATAAATGTTTCAGAGAGCTTGTGCTGTTCCGAGCGCTCTGTGTGTATAAATGCACAGATATTCACACAGGATGTTTTTGTCAGTAATTTAGAAGTGAGGTAACGGTTACATGTAATTCAGCCACGCAATGTCTCCGCAAGGTACCTTTAGGCTGACGTGGTTCAGCTGAGCCATTTTTGCACCAAACTGTTCTGTGACCACCAGTAACTACTTAGCAGAGGACAACAATTTAAGACAGCGTGCCACCGAAGAAAATGCACATACCACTCAACTACTTAAACCTGTATTTCCAGCCATTTGCAAAATATTGGTATTGCCACTCCAAGCTGCAGCATTTGCTCTCTCAGTACTGAGAGTATCCTAAAGGTCCACCAGAGAAGAGGATGTCATTGCTCTGGTAGTGGAGAGGTGTTGAAGGAAGGAAGGAAGGACATAAATGCGTAGGAAACCAAGCTGCACTTAAACCCTGCAGCCACAAAATTCTCAGGAAATGTGTTCATCATCTGCTTATATAGATGGGTGAACTGAACAATAAACTTACGAGTTGCAAGGTCACTGTTGTAGATAATTTTACTGTCAGATCTATTTCAACTGGAGGACTTTGTAATCAACAAAAACATTTTCTTGGTACTAAAAAAGGATGTCTACATTTAGATAATTTTCTGTTCTACTTTTGTGCCAGCAACTTTTTTACTGTATGGAGCAGATTTTAAATGTCAGAGCCAATAATACAAGCTAGAGTTCTGATGGTCTAACAGCCAGTTTATATTCCTTCCTTCCCTTCCAGATTTAAATAAGTTAGATGTTCCCTACATAAACTGCCAATTATCTGAAATAACAATTATTATTATTATCATCATAATCATCATACTAGTTAAAAGGGAAATTAACACTGAAAAGTGTGCCTGCACACCAGTGTATTGGTTGTATGTTGATGTAATTAGACCAAAGGGCTTCAGAGCTCCACTTGGGTGGGTGGGGTTTACCAATTCAGGTTCATGGTTTTTGTTCAAATTCTCCATAATGAAATCTGCTTCTTGGCTAATAATATTAACACAAGTAAAAAATTATTTTGAAAATGCTATGAAATTTAAATAAATTGTAATAATATTTCAAAACTAAAATTGTTAATAGTGCACATAGATCCTTCTATGGATATTGGTCCTGCAAAAGAAGGATTCTTAAGCCATTTTATTTTTTTCCCTAAAGTCCTTAATTTGAAGCATTTCTCTCTATTCTTCAGCATTCAGCAGGACATAGATTAATTTGTATATAAAAGGTATTAGCTGGCATATGTCCCAGAAAGTAACAACAAAACCAAATAAAACTCAGATCATCTTAGATAAAACACAGTATGTGTTTATTGAAAATTTTCAAGAGAAAGAAGTAAAATTGTTAATTTCATTGTTAAACAAACAGTGTTAACCACAAAACACTTTAACATTTCATTAATCAAAACTTTGTGTCTACCTGGCAAAATATGTATCAATCTGTTTTAACTATTAACATGGAAAATTAGTATTTTTAAAAGAAATACCAAGTATCCTTGAAAACCATATTAAAAAAACATTATCATTCATAAGTTGAAAGTGATAGCCACAAAAGTGCTAATTTGTTTGTGTGTTGTCAAGATGTTTCTGTATTTAAAGTGATGTACATTATCATTTCTTACTTTCAGGATCAAAATAAATATTATGGTAATCTCCTCAGCAACCGGTATATTTATCCATTTAAAGTATAATTTAGATAGAATAGTATTTTATTTTATGAAAAGTCCTTTTTCAGATGATGTCTTTCTCTCAAGAATTTAATAAACACAAAATCATGTTTACCTCCATCTACATGGAATTTCACTATGTAAAAGCATGTTTCACATATAAGATGAGAAAAAAACACACAGATTTCCTTTATGCTTCAAAGAGTTAGTTAAAATGGCTGTACTGCAGAATTTTGTTGGTAAACTACTAGTTTTGACAGCTTTCATCTGCGTTTCATTAATGTGCTAGTATTTTTTATTCATTTAGCTAAATGAAGGAGGAGACACAGGAAAAGAGTTTTTGTTGAGAGACTTGTCTACATAAGGGCATTAGTTAGCAGAGCAAGGCTGATCAGGAACGAGAAAAAGATGAAACAGCCTTGCTAGCAAAACTGTATCAAACATACCTCCACATATGTATGAAGTTTAAAAGTTGGTGTGACTTAGATTTTATAGAACAAAATGTCACAGACTCATTCTAAATAATGCTGAAAGCTTTTTACCTGCTTTTCCTTTACAGAAATTATTTATAGTATGTTTTTTTTAAAAAAACAGCCTGCCAGATTAATGTCTTTAAAGGCTCCTAGAACAGGATCTAACTTTTCTAGAAAAGAAACAAAATTTATGTCAAATTCCAGTCCCTGAGAAGAGCTAAACACCATTTCAATGATAAATAAATAAATAAATAAATAAGTAAATAGAATCAGCATGTGTTCCTCTCATTTTTATTTTTCTTAAACAGTGGTTTGTCAATGTACATATTCTTTTCATGCTATATTTTAAAATTAAGAATGGTTTTTCCATCTGTAGCTCCTTTCACTTTGATAGAATTCAGACATAAATGCAAAGTAAAGGCATTAAAACTTTTAATCCTTTATACAACTTTAAGTTTTCCTTGAACATTATAGACAATACAGAAATATACTAAAGAAACCCAACATGTATGAATGGAAACAGCAATTTCCTTGTTCCTATTCTATCAGAAGAATTAAGTATTTTGGCTAATTTTGAAAACAGGAAAAAAAAAAAAATTGTTCGATGACTTAAATGCTCGCAAACCAAAATTGTTCAGCTTATATTAGACTTGATTTCTTTGTTGTTTAAAATAACTTCCGGATCCAAATGTGTATTCAGCCCTTATGAATGCAGGTCAGATAGTTTGATACTCTCCCCAGATGTTTTAAGCACGTCTTTGATGATCTAAAGCTCAAGGGGCGAGAGTGATGTCAGGTGAAGAGAGTAAGATTACAATGTCTCCACAAAACATTCATTAAAGGAAGAATTTTGTCAGAATATTAAAGTAGAATAAACTTGTTGGATCTTGTGGGCTGAATGTCACCAACTACAGGAGCCTGTGATCAGTGGGCAACTCCTCTTTCAGCGGTTTACACTCTAGCCCCACCTGAAAAATGAAGATAGAACATTCAGCATTTCCACCCTTTGTCAGCTCTTCTGGGCTTTTTTTTTGCTCCAGTCCTTTCAAGGCAGCAGGTGGGAAGGAACCTTATATCCCCAGAGACGTATGGACAGCCTTCTGCTTTGTGTCCCTCGCGACTTCCAGAGGGCCACAGGATCACCGACCTGATGCTTTAGGTACACCCCAGCCATAGCAACAGAGGAAGATAATTGACTGTCAGACCCTGAGGGCACAAACAGCCTTCAAAGCCCTGACCAACCTCCCCCAGGGCACCCTGGGCTCTGCTCTGGCTGGATCTCCCCTGGGTAACCCTGCCAAAGTGTTCCCCCGGCACCTGGCCAGCAGCAGCCACCCCAGAGCTCGAGGCTTTCTGAGGCACCGGGGGATCCCAGCTCTCTCAGAAATGCCTGTGAAGCTTTTCCATACACCTCCTGCATTTTACTCATGTCACAGAATCACAGACTCACAAAATTGCCTAGACTGGAAAAGACCTTTAAGATGATCGGGTCCAATCATAAACCTCACACTGACAGGTCCTCAACTGAACCATGTCCCTAAGCACTATGTCTACAGGACTCTTCAGTCCCTCCAGGGATGGTGACTCCACCACCGCCCTGGGCAACCTGTTCCAATGCCTGATAACCCTTATGGTGAAGAAATTCTTCCTCATATCCAATCTAAACTTCCCTTAGCACAGCCTGAGGCCATTTCCTCTTGTCCTATCACTTGTTACTTGGTTGAACAGACCAACCCCCACCTCTCTACACTCTCCTTCCAGGTAGTTGTAGAGAGTGATAAGGTCTCCCCTGAACCTCCATGTCTTAGTCATTAGTCACATTACTGAACAAGAAACATGAATTACAGGTTTAAATTGACCTCTGTGGCAAAGGGCCGGGGCTGGGCTGTTCCTGAAGAGCTGGGAGCTGAGGGGAGCCCAGACTGTTGCCTCCCCAGGGGTGGGCATGCACAGAGGGGCAGTGATGGCAAACAGTCCCCATGGATGGGCCAGCCATTGTCACCTGAATACACAGCTACCATCCCACCTGAGGACAAGTCAGGAAACCCAGCCATCCAGGCTCACAGCCGGGACAGAAGACCCACCCCGGCTGGAGCTGAAATGGAGGCCTCGACCAGAACATACACGAGGATGCCCCAGGCGAGGCAGATCTGGGCCACACAGACTGGTTTCCACACACAGGGCCACGACAGTCAGTCACCTCTGTGATGGCAGAGAACTCATGGCATATAATTTCCTTCATAAAGTGACATACATCCATCTTCTGGGCACCTTATCGCTTCCTTTACTTGTCCTTGATGATGAACATTAATTACCAGTATCTCTTACAGACCAGTGATGTTGTTTAGGATGAGATTTTCAAACGCCCACATCCCTGACCAATTTCTGCCCCCACTAAAATTGTTTGTAAAGTTCCTTTCTGCTCCAACGCTAAATCAGCTCAGAAAGCTGGAAACCAGTTCGGTCTTACCTTGTGGTTTGAAACAAAGTTTCTTGTTCTTATAAGCAGAGTAGGCTGCTATTGATCCAACAACTAATATCACAAAAGCAGAAATTATAGGAGATGTAACTCCAGCTACTAATCCTGAATCTGTGGAAAAAGAGAGATTTTTTTTTTTTTTTTCAGACACCATCTGAAATGGTTTGAGTTAAGCTTATTCTCTACTAAGGTGTGTTTTTGCCAAGCTATGAGAATTCTTTTGTGAAACACTGGAAATTCATTAAATAGAACTGAGCAGAAGACTAGAAATTATGTTACATTACAGCTGGTGGGAAAATGTTGTCTTAAAGCCTAATATAGCATATGTGCTACTTTTGTAAGGCTAGCATTTTCTTACTATTTTATGATGATTTGAAACAAAATATAGAATAAATTATTTACTATACCTGTGTTTCCTCCATGATTGAAATTATGCTCCTCTTCTCCTGGAATAAAAGGTGAAGTTTCATCAAGAAAAGTTTTTCATCTTGTTTTGAGAACAAAGTCTTTACTCAGCCAAGTGTGATTTCATACAGAAGGGGAGAGAGCGTGGCTGGGCAGGACTGTGGGAGAGGAGCCCCCATTCCAGTCCTGACTGACAGCTGCATTGGCCAGAGGAATTACCATCCATCCTCCTCTGACACTTCGTTTTTGGGGAAGAATATTATCTTCTAAAGAAAGGATAATACTTAGCAGTCTACATCAAGCTGACTTCACAGAGAGTGGGAGGCCAGTATACTCTGGCTATTGTCTGTTGACAGGCAATCAGATGATTTATCAATAATTTAAGTCAAGATCATAGGCTCAGTGAATCTACTTTCACTTCTCAGCAGAAGCCCCTTGTTTTGGGACTGTCCTATTTAAATTCAAAGGGATTAAATGTGCAAGGTTCTGGAATATGCCAGAACGCTACAAAATGTTTAGGAATATGTTTCAAGTTTGAGCTTCAGGCTCAAAGCCATGGTTTGTGAAAGATAACTAATCCAAATAAAAATATCAGAGTCTTGTCCTATACCTTCAGTGACAAATATATTTGCCAAAGCAAAAGGAGCCAAGTTACAACTATTAGGGAGAAGCTGCAAGAACTGGCAAATACTACCTGTTACGTGTGGTGGTAAAGGCTTCCCATCAAAGAGATCTGAGTCATCAAAACCTCCTGCAAGACAAAAAATAGGATTTCTGTTGCAAAATTATCTGATCAATGGTAACCCGTTCAGCTCCCTTGTCCAGTCTTTTTGTAATGTACTAGGTAGTGGTGAGAGACCTTTGAAATTCCAGTTTCAACATGGCAGATGGGTGAGGTGTCTTGCACTGGATGCTCATTTATTCAAATTCACCTGGAAGCTGGACTGCTAAACCTGTTGATATATACCCATTCTGCATCTGTATTGGCACTTGTGGGAAGCGTGGGCTGGAGATCTCAAGTAGCATGAGCCTTTATATAATATGGTCATTTTAAATCCCAGTGATTCCTGAAGCAGGATTTCAGTGGGTCCTTTCTAGGAAAGACTCCAGAAGGACCTGTCCATGGCTCACCACCACAATCAGAAGTAAATATGGGATACATGGTGATAGCTGGAATAGATGCATCACATCCACTTGGTTTAAGTGGGTGTCTGGGACCACCCTCAAAAGCAATACAGGCTTACATCCATCTCCCTAGTCCTACCCATTGCATGCCCCAGGGCCGTCTCAGATGCACACCTCAGTATGGATTTGAACACAGTCTTATCCACACGCTGTGGCTAGATGCCAAATTTGCACCTTAGCATGGTTCAGTATATACATAGCCAAAATGAAAAGGTATACAAGGTGAGTGTTAGACTCATGCCACTTAGGAGTCAACGTGCCACATTTTGGGCAGGTAGAAAAACTTTATGGTACTAACACTAAAACTCAGCAAATCTTTCCAAGTCTTGCGTTGGGAACAGTGATTACAAAAGGGAGATGGAGGGAAGGGATGATAAAAACTGTTAATAAATAAATAAAAGAGGAAACTATTCAAAATACCTGCTCTGAACATTTCATAGTGCCAGAATTTCCTTAGGAAAAAATATTCTTACCAGAATTACTATAGCTTCCTGGTCGTGGTGGAAGAGGTGGGTATAAAGGTTTTCTTGTGATGTCACCTATTGATAAGTCATATTGTTAGATGGTTTGACAGGCAAAAACGAGAGCTGTAAATAAAGAGTATGATAACCTGAGATTTTATACCGATTTCTAATTTGTCTTCTGGTGAATTAAGAAAAGACTCTTCTCACTAGTTAAAAAGTTTCAAGCACTATATTAACAAATAGCTAGCTACTAAAACTTATCAGAAAGTGGAAAGGGAATATTTTCAAAATTAAAATGAGAAAAGAATTCATAAAAATGTTGAAGGAAAATATTTCATGCAGTTCTGGCAAGTGCTAACATTGTGTAATGCTGACAGCTGTGAAGCACAGTGTGTTACTGTAGGTGTCAGTGCTGCAGCTATGCAGAGCCGACAAAGAAGCTGGTGTTCTGGTCTGGGCAGGAGGCAACAGGCTATCTCTGTGCCATCAGCAGGTTTTACTAAAATCTGGAGATTAGTTTCATCTAACAGATGCTGAATTCATCCAATGCGTGATGAATTTTCTACTCTTGAACAGTGCAAAATTAAGTCAGACTTCAGCTTTGTTTTTTAGGACTTGTGCTGGTATTTGGCCTTAATTTTTGCCAAAGTATTAGGAAGAGATGCATTGGACAGAGCAGGAGATCTGATGACTAATAGCAGTTTCCAAACTGCACGTAGAGTGCTGGAGTAGCAAGAGCTAACTCAGGTCAAACCCTGACAAAGTTAATGTCCAAGGCTGTTGCTCTGCATATACAGAGTAGGTCCCCTCCTACCATCCTTTCTCCAACCAGTTCAGTCACATATTTAACTGTTTTCACAGCCAGACAGTGAATTTAGCTCTGAATAAATCAAAGTCAGGTCACAGAAATAAATACCAGCTTCCCTCCCTCTCCTTCAGTCTTTCACATTCAATACATGCCAGTTGCCCTTTTATCATGTTTTCTTCTTGCCTAGTTGGTAAATATAATGCTGCTGTTTGTGAGTAACACTTAGGTTCTGATTCAGCAAATTATTTAGATATATGCTTAACTTCAGGCAAGTTTAGCCTACTGCAGTGAATGGATTTTAGGTAGAGTCTTACAGCTTTGCTGAATCAGACTTTGCCCAATTAATTCTATTCAATAGAAGAAGAGACTTCTTCTGTTCCAGAACTGTGTGTAACGAACTAAGACTCATCATCACACAACAGCAGAAAAATACTGATCCCATTATTCATTTCTATTATGATGCTGCACTTATTCAGTCTTCTCTAAGCATAAGAAGATATATTCTATGGCACAGCTAATGAAAAATAAATGTCTTCAGAACTATTGACGAGGTGCATATCATTAATCCCATGTAGGAATGTCAATTAAGAACCTGAACTGAAAATAGAGCAATTAAATAAAAGCGGAGGGAATCAGAATTTGCCATCCTCTGAATGAAAAGGTGAGTTTTAGTGAAGATACTTAAGCAATTCATTAGTAAGTTAATCAACATACTAAACCCATCCTCTTATAAAAGCACCCATTAAAAACTTACAGGAATGGAACAATTAGCACAGGCAGGAAGAAGTGACAGTATAGACATAGGAATTATAAACAAAACTAGATTCAGCTTTATAAAGTGTGGGCTAATGTCATTCAAACACAGGCATGAAATGCCACAGGGGAACCTGGAAATGCGTAAAGCCTTGGAAATGGGAAAAAATAAAATTATGATTCTCCAAGACTGAAACATGAGCAAACCAGACCACTGTGACTGGAGTCATAGTTCAGGAGTTCTGTGCAATGGGCTGAGAAGTAATTTTCTTTTGTGCAGCCTCAAGGCTACACAATTTAAGTGGAATCTTAGGCTTTGATTCAATACTACTCGCATTTTACATAATTTCAGAGTACAAGAACCTTTCTGGAGTACTTCACATCCTTGGTATACCTCTAAACACACTAAACAAAATGTGGTGCAAAAATTCCCAAAGTTGAGGATTTCCTATGCCTACACAGCTCAGCACAGTACAGTGAATACTTCCTGGGTCAGTTCTGGATGTTATAGAAACACCTGGAAATTATAGCAGGTTACAACAGCTTTACTGCTTCAGGCTTAAGCTATATCTTGTCCATCGGTGCTCCTCTCTGAAATATATCTTCCAGCATTTCTGATTTGGGATCAGCAGAGTTACAACAAGCTCACATTTCTCTCTATCCACGGTTACGTCTGATGCCTCATCTTAGGCAGGTTCATTTTTGGTAGGTGAAGAAACTACTGCCACCCTGAACCATCACGGCTGAATGGGCAGTACATCCTCTCCGCAGCCATGACTCTGGTAGCCTACCACGGTAAGGTAAACCATAGCTGATGTAGTTCAAGCAGGTAGGCCAGACTGCAAGCAACCAGACACAGCCCAGACCGCTGTCCCTGCGCTGCATGATGGCCTCTGGCAGAAGGGCTGCCTGTACTTGAGTTGTAATGACTCCCATTACCACAGTTCCTCCTACAATCTTGAAATCTCACAGAATCACAGAATGTTGGGGATTGGAAGGGACCTCGAAAGATCATCTAGTCCAATCACCCTGCTGGAGCAGGGACACGTAAATGAGATCACACAGGAAGGTGTCCAGGCAGGTTTTGGATGTCTCCAGAGAAGGAGACTCCACAGCCTCCCTGGGCAGCCTGTCCCAGTGCTCTGTCACCCTCACCGTAAAGAAGTTTCTTCTCAAGTTTAAGCGGAACCTCCTGTGTTCCAGCTTGCACCCATTGCCCCTTGTCTTATCATTGGTTGTCACCCAGAAGAGTCTGGCTCCATCCTCGTGACACTCACCCTTTATATATTTATAAACATCAATGAGGTCACAAATTAATCTCTTCACAAATTAGGCAGACTTCAGAAAAAGCCTGTGAAAAACACCCAACAATTATATCTGAGAAAAAAAGGGAATACTCACCCCCACCAAGAGCATCTCCTAAATGCAGATCATTGTCTAAAAGTGAAAAGGAGTAAGACATAGAGAAGTGAGTTACACACAATTCTTGAGGGAAGTGTTTGACAAACAACTTTTTCAGGTCAGTCACACAAATTCAAATAAGATATTACACTTTTCTTGAAAACTGTTATAGAATTTAATATTTGCCTACACAGTAATTGACAAATGATACACTATTTTCTACTCAAAATACAAAAGGTTTCTTCCTGCTTTAAATAAACTCAGAATAAAACTCATAATGGAATCAAGATCAATACCTCTTTAATACAGTTGCAAGTACATAAATAAAATTAGCTATGTTAAGATATTAAAATGTACCTATTTTTAAAAATATACTTATTTATAAATATTTATGTCTCTGGTTAAAACTGATATGTACATATGCGGCTCAAGTGTAATTTGTTGAACTGCAAAATCTGAATACCTGTTTCAAGAACAAATACTAGGGAGCAATAAACCTACTTAGGGAGAGAGAATTGAATCAACTAATTTATGTAAGGGTCACAGTGACATAAAAAATTTTGCTTCAAGCAATCATATGTGCCTGTCTGAGGTTGGGTGACAGTCTGTTTTGGGGTTTTTTTGGCTAAGCTATAAAGGTCTTAAAATATACTTAAATATCTGCATGTGCATGTTATGCACTGAATCAACAGGCTATTGCCATTCTCCCAGCACTGTATATGTGTATCCCTGTATCTGGGCTGAAATTTTCTTTCCAATAAACAATTTGTCCATGAGCTGCAGATGCATAAATGAGAGGAACTCCATTTCCAACACTTAGGTGTGGATATGAGTATTTGGGCAACATCGTAGTGTGTGTGTGGAATGACACTAAACTCTGAAAGGTCACTGAGTAATAGGCAGAAATACATTAGATGGATATCATAACTCCAGGGATCCCTTTCTTACTCCTTATAAATGCGGAGTGCTGAAATGAATCCGAAGGGACAGCAAAATCTACCTAAATTTTGATACCAATCCTTATTGCCACACAAAATTAGATAGACACTCAATTTTATTTTCATTATAATTGCATCAGAACTCCTGAAACACAGGAAAATCCATCCAAATGCATCACCATGCAGAAGTTTGCCTTCATCTGTTCTCTATATCCACAAGAAATGTGAACAGTATCTAGTCTCCTTTGTGAAAAAACTCAGAAATGCCTTGATGCCACCAGGAAGTCTGGCAGGAAAATAATAAAATTCAGACTACATGACTCGGTTTGTTCTTGTCAAGCCAGGTGATCCTGTCCATGTCTGGCCAGCAGAGAGTTGCATTTCAAAAATACCTTTACCTGTCAAATGCTAACACTGTAAAAAGCAACAAATTGCAAACTGGATTCAATTTATTATCAAAATGAAGAATTTAGGTAAAATGCAGGGTTCCACTCTGGAGGGTTCATGCAGGGATTTGTGACAGAAATGCTAAGGTTGATATGAATGAAATACAAATGGAAATGCATGTTCCTGTAGGGACCAGAAGAAAAGGGTTAACAGAACAAACAACAAAGGTCACCATTCCCAGCCATAAAATTGAGGAATGTGTTGTTTCTGTCAAAACCAGCAGTCCTGTGCTCCAATAAGACAACAGCACAGATAACTTGTCAGCAGAGGAAAAGCAGAAGGGCACTCTAAAGCCAAAGGCTGCAGCTCCTCACCTCTTCCACTACTTTTCTTGTTTGCTCACACAGAAAATCAACTGTAGACATAGTCTGTGTACCCCAAACAAGCAAAACCAGATAGTGGGCAGCAACCTGGCCTAGAGGTCAAAGATGTTGAAGTAAGCAAGATTATGAGGCAAAGGATCTGTCCATAAAAGCTGATGACTCCTAAAGGTTATAAAAGGATCTGTACATAAACTAGCTTGTCATTTCTTGTCAAGAAGAATCACAGAGACAGGATGAGGACTCAGTAGCTGGCATACCTTATCCGCGTTGCACATGATGCTCACCAGACATCACCTGATGCAGGTTCTCACCTGAGCACACACATCTTGTTGCTCCTGAGTATGTGGGTCTGAGGGTGTGGATGAGTTAACTCAATGGCAGGAGGAGTGTCAGTGAGTAAAATCAACTGATTTAGAGATTTGGTAAATAAATATCACCTTCTCCTTCCATTACATTTTGTGTTCAGTTTTGTTACATTAGATGGGAGGTACCTACAGGAGAGCTCCAACTCATGCAGAAGTTTCTGTGTGGGAAGCGATGCCCAGAGGACATGGCCTGTTCAGTAATTGGCCATAGCTAAATCAAAATCATCATCTCAGCCAGCTTAATTTCTCAATGATACTGCCTGAGTAAGACACAGAGGGAACCCTGAGGTTAAGATGAAGCATCAGGCAGATGCTAGGACAAACTTTTGTATCACATTTCTGCACATATTTCCAAATCTAGTAACATACTTTGCATACAGAAGACAGCTAGTATTCATACAAATTATCTCAGCAATGGTACGTTAGCGAATATGATCCAGAATCTCATGGAAGACAGTTTCTACATATGGAAAATCAGTTATGACCCATTGTCTTCTTTACTCACTCAGCACAGGCCTTGTCGGTCTTCTGATCACTGTAGGCCTCCTGGTAATTATGTCGTCTGTGGGACACAATGACATGCCAATAAACAATGACATTTTAAACTTTTTCAACTTATCAAAAGAAGGTATCTGAAAATCTAGAGAACTGCATTCAATAGATCTTTATGTATCATGGCAGAAGCTAAAAATGAAAGGATATATTTTCAAAGCCCTTTTTTGTTTGTTTGTTTTAAAGAAAATTTTAATTTTATGACAGAAACATTGAAATCTAACATTTCTCAGTTCTGTATGGGTTTAACTTCAGTACTAGCCACTTCATATTCCAGTCTTCAAGGAAAAGGACTTGAGGTTTATTATTGGGTCTAAATGCCACGGTAAATAAGGATAGGAGATTTACCTACCTGGGTGATCAAGAGCATCAGCTAAATCAAAATCACGTTGACCTAGATGAAGGTGACAGAAGGAAAGAGACTAAGTCAGTGGGCAGGTTTCCATGATCTCGAGGTCTGAGGGCTCTGGACAGAACCAGAACACCAGTAAGAGGCAAAAGAAAAATCCATCCAAAAAGGAGCAGTGCAGAGCAAGCTGTCAGCTGTTGTCCCTGCTCCGTGCAGTCCTGAATGACCATATGAGATGGGCTCATTTAATTCAAATAAGCTGTTCATTCAGGTAACGCAGAGAGAAGCTGCTCTCTTGTGTTATCCCTATTGAGCCACAGTGCAAAAATGCCTTTGAAGAACATGGGTTGCCTGTTACAGGGCACAAGGGCTATTACAGAGAGAAAACTGAAGCCCCAGTCAGCTCGGTACTTGCAAACCAAAATCATTAGATGACAACTTTTAAAATCTTCACTATTGTTTTACTAATTCAGCTTCAGAGAAGCAGCTTTACTGGCAAACCTGCCTGGTGATCACTTGTAACATGAATCAGCCTTTTCTTTTTTTTTTTTTTTTTTTAATTCTTCCTGTAACACGTGCCAGCAGTAAAAGATACAGAGATGTGTTTACCTAATTTGGTTTCAGCTGTACCTTAAAATATCTGAAAGGGGAGAAAAGAACCCTTCCTATTCTGAGTTAGGTGACAATGATGTCATTAAATGTCACAGCAGAACAATTAGCATCCTGACTATTGACATTGGCAGATAAATAAAAATGGAAAATATTTAAAATGTATTAAACCGAAGCATATGACTTTGAGTGAACAAACACAGTTATTCACGTGAGTTTTACTTTTCACTCTCTGCATTCTGCTACTTTCATTTTAATACACAGCCTTCATGAATCACCTCTTTGCAGAGTCTGCATCCATTAGTTTTCAACCAGACTGAAACTTCACTGTCCTTGTGTTTGCACACCAAATACAAGACCAGCCTGCACAAACCTGCAAAAAGTCATGACATGCCATGGCTTCCCTAAGCAGAACTGTTTTCCTGCGCTCTATTGAGTAAGCCTTTTGATCTGCATCTATTTATTATCCTGTCTAAAAAACTTAATACCCAACTCTTCAGTGAAGTGTTTTTCCTGGTAAGTCTTGAACATTTCACAGCAGGAAAGGCATCAATTGTTCAAGCAGGGAAACTGAGGAACAGAGAGAGGTTGTGAGAGGTTCTCCAGCACAACAGTGCTCTGGGTTCAGTTCAGCCTTCTCAACAGGTGCTGTCCATCTTCATGGTATTCTTCATGTTAATCACTGTTCCTGAATAATAGCTCACGCCTGTGTCAAAGAGCTCCTGGGAAGATTAATTATCAGTGGTAAAACACTGTGTGATCCTCAGATAAAAATCCGTGCAGAACCATAAAGTAGAAATGTTTTGATTCACATGAGGATTTTCATGTAAGTCTGTGAACTTAATTATACCTGGTGGCTGACGGAAAAGATAAAATGAAGCTGGAATGCAAAACAGCGAAAGGTTTCTAAAGCAAAACTGTCCCTATAAAATATTATGACAAACCTGTGTTTGGAAAGGAAAAGCAGATAACAGCATAAGGCTTTCCTGGTAATGTTTATTAGAGTAGCATTTTATCTCTTATCATTTGAACTGATCATGGACTGTCACCTCATCCAACCGCATCTCCTTCCCCTGCCCTGGCCACTCAGCCAACCTAGCTAAGTCCAGTAACCTTTGGACTGGGTCCTTAGATGGATAATATTCCAGGACCCTGTCAGGTTATTTTTTTTTATATGAATCTATTAAAATATATAAAATTAACAAGTGGATTCCTCAGAAGGTATTCCCTGCCAGAGCCCTGAAGACATCGCCAGTCCTTACTGGCCCTCAGCCCCTGCCCGTGGGCTGTCACAGCCCTGCTGCTGCCCACCCATGGGACCAGTTGATCCTGTTGCAGACCCTAACCTGCAGGCTGACTTCCTGCTTTGCCTCAGTGTATATGGTCATATTTTATTTTTCTGAAGCACTTCTTCAGTGCCAACAATACAAGCTACTTAAGTTTGACTGTCCTTTGATTTTCTGCTCTGGGTAAATCTTCATTCTTGCTCAATATCCTGAGTACTGAAGGAGGCTGTCTGACCTCAGCGCTGCTGCTGCAGGATACTGCCAGCAGAGTTCAAACCAATTCTCATCAAGGTGAGTCATCAGAACTAGTTTTGTACCACCGAAGAGCTGTTGGCCAAACCAGCTCCTTTGTTACAGGTCCTGACACGCAGGAACTAACAATATGGAAAGCAGCTACCAAGGTTTTAATGCTGTAAAGAGGACATGACAAAATCCTCTTGTGAAGGGGGACTCTGGAAAACTTTGAGGTACAATATTTCTTTGAAGTTAGGGAAAAGAAAAAAAATAAAAGGAGGAATTTAATCAAAATAGAATATGGAATTCAAACAAGATGATGCAGATGCTTCCAATTGCATAAGAACCAAAGCAAAACAATGGACTGAAACAGTTACTAACATCTGCCCTTCTCTTGGACAATACTGATGTTTCCCTCTCCTGTTGCATGTTTGCTCTGTTATCAAAAAAGTGGGAAAAGACAAGAGGTGTTCTTTTGAGACAGCAAGGGAAAAAAAACAGAAATAGAAATAGAAGACAACTACAGAAATTTTAAGAAGAGAAAAAAGAAGCCTGAAAATCCCCTGCAGAAATTATTCAGATTGATTTTTTAAAATTATTTCTCATGGTAAACCAAGTAATAAAATAAACAGCCACCAACACAGAATGACTAATTGGGAGTAAAACAGGAATCTACACTGAAATCTCTTTGGCTGTGTAAATATGAACCTTGACAGATGGCTAGATTGTATGTGGACATCTGTGTAGCATGGTAAACGATATTCCAATAAACCAAAAGACTGCTTGAACTTCCATCCTGACTTCCTCCAATAATAACATCGAATGACCGCAAGGAGTAAGATTTTGTGGAGCCGAATTTTAAATGCTCATTATCATTTCTGAGACTGCACCTAGACATTTTAAGAATCTAATTTGGAAGGATAACAGATGGTTAAATAGCTGAACAGCCCAGATTTCATCTGCAAAATGGTGGGTTTATAAACAAAAACACATTAGAGACTCAGAGAATATTTAGCTCAATAAGAACTGCAGTCACTTTAGGGAACTCTGAAGATAGATGACAATGGAAATAAATTATTCAAGCTTCTTCACAGAACAAACAGACTGAAAGAAAATCATTTTCTATGTATAAAAATGGCCTTTTTTTTGGACCAGCTTCCATAATAGAAACAGCTGGAAATATATCGATGAAAATGACAATGAAAGAAATTTTAGTGGGGAGAAAACATCTTTGTTCCTTTGGGGTTTTTTATTTGATTGAATTTTTTTGTGTGCAGTTTTTGTTGGCTTTTTTTTTTAAAAAAAAAGGGATAAAGTTATGAAGAAATTTAGCTATGCAGGAGATATTATCTCAAAGTTGTCTCTGTTACAGCTTTGGGCTAGCATGCTATTTCTTGGCATCACTTCTAGTCTTTCTTCTGGGAGTATCCCTGTTTTTAGATAGAAATAAAATTATGGTAATAGTGGTTTTTGTTGGGTGGTCTACAATGATTCATAACAGACAATTTGAGAAAATGCTTATAAGCTCCTGCCTGACACCACGGAATAGTCCTTATCTGCAAACGAGAAAAAGCCAAGCTAAGAAAGCAAGCCTTCCAGATGGATATAGTTTGTATCATGAAAGGACCTATTTTAATTACCTTTATGCTAGCTGCTCAAATGCAATGAACTATACTAGCAGCAGGACTTTTGCTGGCACTACCAGCCTCATTTGGGATGAAATTCCTTCATCTCCACCCAACACATGTAGCTGTGCCAGTAAAAATCTGCAGTAGTGTAGATGTGGCCTACATAGCTAACAGTAGATTTCTCTGTAGCAGGCAGGCAGGGGAGAACAGAGTCCATGAAGCCAAGCACCAAAACACAGCAGCTTAAATTTCAAAGTTACTACATTTATTTTTACAGGTTTGATTCTTCTGGGTAGGACATTTGATTTCACTAATACCCATACTTTCTATGAGCCTTTTGTATATCATATGTGGAAGGCTGGTGTTATAAAATCCTTTTAGACTGCTTGCTCTACTACGGAGACTGTTACGGCTGCTGTTTGCCACAGAGATACTGAGCCAGTAAGTTTCTAACTTGTAGTAAGTTCCATTGAATATAAGACACATCCTGCTGAAGCATCACAGAGCTGAGGTTGTCTTATCCCACCCACCAAGGCAGCCCCCTGCAAAGTCAAGTCCTCAGGCACATGTGCATTTAATGCTTGCAATTTTTGCCCATGTTAGTTTTCTGAAAATGTGACTGAAATATCCAGTCACTAAAATAGAGAAAGCAGCATCTTTTGCCCATGGTTGAATTTGTGACCTATGTGTTAAATAGATCCATCACCCCTTAGCTATGTAGCTGATTGATCACAAGGGACTGAGGTCCCACAGTTTTTGAGAAGGATTTACGAGAAACAAGGCTGGATTCTGCAGGGGGATGTTACCTGTTCATCATCACAACTGTAGTCAGAAGTTTTCTGATAAAGGGCTACCATGGCATCACTCTGCAATTTTTAATCTCCGTAAGTAGGCTCAGTCTTGCATTGGATCCATATGAACACTGCTTGTGGCCATTAAAATGATGCACATTTAAATAGGACAACATGAATATTGCTAAGTGAGAGTCAGGTTATGTGACAAATTAAATTAACTTCTCAAGCATTTAATATACATAGTCTAGTATCAAAAATTAAGCTAAGATCCATGAGAAAATGTGTTTATATGTGTATATACATTTATCTGGCCATGTATCTTAAATGGATACATGCACATGTGTTAGATAAATCCTTTTGTCATTAATATGATTAAATTAATGGGTTTTGAGTGCATTGCTAGCATTCATATGATTGGGATGAGATTACCTGTGTTACAAATAAATTAAAAGCAACTAACTTAGAAATGTGAGCTAGACAGAAGCAAAAGAATG